ACTCCAACAGTGTTTTTGCTAGTTCTGAGGAAGTGGGTAAAAATGTGAAAGACATATCTTTTTTTACTATACGAAGTGAAATTTTCAAGAATACCTTTATGTAAAAATGTCTTTTGCATCTAGGAACCTAACCTAATCCTAACCTTAACTCTAACCCTAAACTATAGCCTTGAGTATAAAATTAACACTAATTCTAGCATATATGCTAACCCTAAGCCTAACCCTAAATCTCAGCCTCATCCTAAGCTGAACCCTAACCCTAACACTAACCACAAACCTAACTTAACTCTAACTCTTAACTCTACACACAACCTTAACTGTAACTCTCTACATTGCACTAGCCCTAACTGTAGGCTTAACTCTACCTCTTGTCGCTAACCCTAACCCCAACCCTAGAATTGACTTGTTTAGGGGTAGACCAATTGGGGAAAATGTTCTTAAAGATTCTAGTAACTACATAATTAAAACTGAGAAATGAATTTCAGATTAAATGAGGAATCTATAAGCAGATCTTAGCAGACTATCTTTAACAACATATTATGATTAAATAGCCTGACCTTTCTGAGAGAGATAACCAAAGGTCTGGGTTAGATGTCTGCAAGATGTTCTTGCTTCTGCACTCTGACCCCTAATAAAGGGTGCTATAAAAAGTCAATGAATTTCTCTGAGAGACAAGATTCATACTGAGAGTGCATTTGCATAGACTTCGCAAGATATATACTAACTTTAATCCCAGTTTTCTAGGATCCCCCCAAAGTGTAAGAATTTTCTACTCCAGAAGAGTTCCAGAAGACTGGAGCCTCACTGGCTCTTCCACTTACAGAGAAATCCCAATGTGACCCCATAAAGACCTTACCAGCTAGGACCCCTCTCAATGAGACTAGCAGTCATGGCAATGTGCAGTGGTAGGCTCTGGTGGTTAGAGGTGTAATATCAGATACTGTATTAAATTTAGAGGTTTCACAGCCAACCTATGGATAGATGATTAACATACATAATACAATGAGACAATATGATGGGACAGAACATAATTCAATGCTACATTATGTGATCTAGACCTAGATATTGAAATGGCCCAAGATGACAGATATTAGTGGACAAAGTGAACAATATTTTCTCTCATTTGTGTAGCACTGAGCAGCTTACTGAAACTCTGCAATACATATTAAATCCTTCCTAGGATGCTGGGAGGTTGATAGGGCAGGTATTAGTATAATTATTCTTATTTGCCTACACAGAAATAGGTTCGGCAAAATTAATTATTTGCCCTAAAATTCCCCAGCAAAAGTGGCAAAGTACAGACTTGGACTGAAGTTGAACAATTTCATGTACAATGGGAAGTTCATGCTATTTCCTGGAATCAGGGAGACTGGAATGGTGCTTTAGAGGATTGAGTGAAAGTTGAAGAGATGAGGGGACACGAAATAGTATTCTGAATGGGGGAAATGATATAAGTAGTAGACGTCAGAGAGTTGGCAATGGGATAGTGAATGGACAGACAGGTAAAGGTGGATGATGAAAGACTGGAAGGGAAAGTGAGGCTTTGAGAGCCTGGCAGAGGGGTTTACATTTCACATAGGGTTTCACAAAGAAGTCAATGAAATTTTTGAACTGGACAGTGACATACGAAGTCACATAAGTGACATCTGATAGTGGTGTGTAGGGGGAATGTGAACAAGGCGGCCTAGAGGCTCTCTGGGTGGCTTTTGGCCATGGCTGCAACAAAGGGACCGGAATGGGGTGGCAGGAATTCTTATGAAATGGAAATAAGGGCCGGGCATGGTGGCTCACACTCATAATCCTGGCACTTTGAGAGGCCAACGTGGGAGGGTTGCTTGAGATCAGGAGTTGGAGACCAGCCTGAGCAAGAGCAAGACTCCATCTCTACAAAAAATAGAAAAATTAACCAGGCATGGCGGTGCATGCCTATAGTCTCAGCTACTCAGGAGGCTGAGGCAGGAGGATCAGTGGAGCCCAAGAGTTTGAGGTTGCAGTGAGCTACGATGACACCATTGTACTCTAGCCAGGGGACAGAATGAGACTCTGTTTCAAAAAAAAAAAAAAAAAGGCAATTGAAAAGATAGACCAGATAGATTTGATAGAGTATGAGAGATGAGGAAAGTGAAAATATCAATGAATTCCAAATTTCAAATAACTAGTTATTATGGCCTCAGGCAAGTCACACAGTCTCTCTGAGACCCTCATCTGAAAAAGAAATGTGATGGCAGCCATTACCCCACAGGTGGCTGAAACTTGTTACATATGTAGAACTATTACATGAAATTATTGCACTTCATGAAGAAGGGCAATTTTAAAATGGCAAGAAAGATGTTCTCAATAACATTAAATAATGAAAAACTGGGAAATATCTAAATGCTCTACTACGATGGGGGAAGAATTAAATTATGAGTATTGTGTAGAAGTTAAAAACCACATTGGAATAACAGGGACTTAAATGCTCATAATATAAGGGTAGGTGGAAAAAACAGGACAAAATACTATCTAAATATTATTAAAAATAAATATATAAATGAAAAAAATGGACTGGTTAAGAGTGATTATCTCTGGCTGATGGTAATGTGACTGATTTGTATTATTATTTTTGTACTTTGTACATTTCTGGAATTTTAAAATTTTGTACCTTGAGCCTTTGTTGCTTTTATAATAAGAAAAAAATATCTGGGAAAAAAGAAAAAGAAATGAGATCAACTACTACTGTTCAAAATCTTTATATGTTTTGTGTCCCTTATAACTGTTTCAGAATAAAATAGCACATCATGGGTAGAGAGGTAACATCCTTCTCTGACTTAGTAAATATCTGTGGAGTGGAATAGATTGTGAGACGTGGCAAAGATGAACAGGGGACCTTCAAAGAAGAGACAGAACAGAGAAGAGAAAGGAAGATAAAATACTACAATAGCTAAGCAGAGATACATGCCTTAACGGAACAGAAATCAGAGTCCTTTTTGGTGAGGTAGTCTGACCTTTGGGAGCTGTTTACAGCTTAGATAAATACAATATTAACTCCGGAAGCAGATAAGAATCCATTTATATCACAACTGCAATGTTTCATTCTACAGAGTATGTCATTAGGTTCGCTAACTTCAAGGGGGCCTTAGCTGGGTTTCCTCTTGGTTTTCCATTAGGACTGCAAAACGTTTTCAATGGATGTGCATTCAGGCATAAATAAAAATCCACCATCCAGTGACATTATGAAACATTTGTGTGTTGAGAAATTTTTATGAATGTATATGTAATTAAAGAAACTATTTCTAGGAAATAAGACTAGAAATAAACTATTTCTAGGAAATAAGGGAAGTTTTCAATTATAACTTCCCTTGGAGGAAGTTATAATTGAAAACCAATAGGATAATTATCTTAGAATCTTGATATTGATCCATAGTCATTTGTTTTTGTGCTTGGTGAACAGATAATATGACACAACAGAGAATAATATGGAGTAATAAAACTGTCTTGGGCTCAGAGTTTTCTGTTAAATATGTTATTTCAAATAACCTTGTATTATCTTTAACAAAATAATTTCTGACTAAGGGAGCTTTCCTTTTGATTTATCTTTGATTTGATTTTATTTTTACCTATGTATGATGTTGTTGTCTTTCCACCAAATACATGCTACTCAACGTTCAGGAAACTCTCCCCAAATATTTTTTCTCTTTCCTACGATTTATATTGGCTTTGCCCATGTTCACCGTCACTCTCGGTTCTGAATGTCACTGCACCGTGTCACTAGATAAAATACACCAAAAATCCCTGAAACACAATAAATGCCAAATCTGGAAAGAGTCAGGGTGCAACTTCTCAGGTTTTCTTTAGAGTCAGCTCGTTATTAGTTTCTGGGTACAGCCACATGTGCTAATTTTCCTGCCTGTGCTCACATTTGTAAAAATGGCATAAAAGAACAGTCATTAGTGGAAGAACCTAGATTTCTCGCTACCCAGTGTCTGTGGTTCTTGTCTATATTTTTGGTGCCAAGTGAACAAAACAGCTCCCTACAGAGATGGAGGATTTTTCCCAGTTGTAAGATATTAATATTTTTTTCAATATAGGTTGTCAAAATAAACACTCTAAGTTCGTTTGTTTATATCACTGTAGAAGAAGCCAGAACACAAAAATTCCCATGTTGATGCTAATTTTTTTTTAAAAAAAAGATGAACCTCATTACAGTATGTTTGTTTGCATCTTTAAAATAGGAGGAGGAAGGAAACCATTGCTGGAAAGGAAGGACAGAGGGCAATAACAGAATGAGACCTTGTTTGACCTTATTTATAGAACTGAAATAATGAGGTCTAAGATGACTTTTTGGTTGCATTGTCTTCTCATCCCATATTTTAATCTGAATGACTGTCAAAATAAACTGCGAGTCACCACACCGTATGTAATCGGTGTGACATTTGGGGCACCATAAGAGGCCACTGTTTCTCTAACTTTAGCTAACTGGTGCACTTCCTGGAGCATGCTTTGGACTAGCTGTCAGAGCCAAAGGGGTCTGATTACCCTCCAGCTCCTTTTAGAATACTCTCCCTTTCTCTCCCTCTCTGGCTAGCAGAGGAGTCCCTTCCTGCACTTATATTATTGCTGCACTGAAAAAAAAAAAAAAGCCCTACTCTCTTGCCAAATATATACAAGCAGAGAGCTAATAGGATTAGCTATGTCTATTGGAAGAAACTTTCAAATCACACTGCAATCGATAATTCCTAATGTGTTTGGTGATATGTACATTTTACACCTTTTCCTTGACAAGTGAGCCGAGGATTGTGTGTTTTTCATCCATGGCTTGGAGTCTAGGAGAGAAGGAAGATCAGGAAGAAAATAACTTGAAGATTTTACAGAGAGGAGGGATTGGGAGTTCATTGGAATAAGCGAAGTCAACAACACCAGGAAGCTTAACTGTATGCATTTTACGTTTTAAGTTTCAGATATAACGTCAAAACTAAAGAGGAACCTCTCCAAGGAACTGACAGAGGCAAGCCTGGTAAGTTTTTGCCTAAGATTTAAACTTTCATCTGGAGCAAAACACTAGCAAGAATGTATTTTAGGAAGAAATGTTTGGGTGCTTAAAAATTCTATCCTTCCTATATCTATAACTATGTAAAGATAAGAATTATCACATACTGGAAGAAGTGATTGGGGTATTTTGCTAGGTTGCTTTGGAGCATGTTTTCCTTTAAAGGAAGGATAATCAAAAAAATACTCTCAGTTCTACCATCTAAGTCTACTCTAGCATAAAATCAAATTACCAGTGGCATGGTATTTGAGCATTTATGTAGGTTGATGACTTGTGAATTATGCTTTCCTTTCAATATAGTCTGAAATATTGACTGGTTGGATATATAGAGTTTTCATGAACATATACTGAGGGGTATTTTTTTGAAAATAAAAAACTTAAGTCTATCTTAATTTGGGAGCTCTAGTTCCATTAAAAAATGGAATAGAAACTTTGCTTCTTTGCCTTTTATTTAATAATATCTTATTGTTAAAGAGAAGAAATCACAGCAAAAGCATTGAGTTGATGGCAAATACATTTTAAGGAAAATTGTAAACAGTAAAAGTGTTAAAATAAGATGCCATCTATTCCAAATGTCCAAAGCTGGACATTTAAACTTCAAAATACTGAGTTAGAAAAAATACCTTTTCCTTTCTACTTATCCATACAAATTTCCTCTATTTTTATAATTGACCCCACTAAGTTAGCTTTTATATGACCCTTTGTCCTAATGGAGTGAGTGGAGAAATACCTAAATGTGAAATCATTGCAGTTTATTAAATGTCAAAGGGAAACTCGTTAATCAGGCATATCGGATAACCAATTGCCAGGCAGAGCAGTTGCTAACAACAGGAAATGTCAGTGTTCCCTTTGAAGACAACTGATGACCACACAAAATGTGTAAGTTTATAAATAATTAGAAAAAAAATTAGAAAGTTACTATGTGTCCTAAGGAGAATAAATAATATGATTAGTGCCGTTGGTAACAATGACTAAGTATCAGTGTGTGAGAAACTGTGTAGCATGGAGATGCCATTTCAGCCAAGTTCCATAGTCCCAGTCTGATCACTGGGCAGGATATAAATGGGAGTCAGATTTAAAGGACGAATATGGGCTGGCAGGGGTGGAAGTGACAAGTGGCAGGACTGTCTGGGGAGCATTTGATCCACTTTTGTGGCTATGAACTGAAAAGACAAGCTTCTCAGGGAGAACTTTTTCAATCATGATATGTGAATTTTGGGGCACAGGGGGGAATAGAAGGTTTTATTTATTTATTTTTTTCCTTATTCACATGCCAAGCCTAATAAATTTAATTTTGCCAACACTCAAAATGGGAATGTCTAAAATTTCGTCCTGGGAATTTCATTTCCCTGAGACAAGGGAAGGAATGGAACCCTTCCAGCCTCTTATTTCTCCCTGAAAGGAGGAAATGAGATTCCCAGGAAGGGACTCTGGCCAAATTAGAGAAAACCTAAGAGGTCTATGGGATTCTAGAGCATCCATCCTTGGGTGGGTCTAAGAAAGCCTGTGAACTTCCTGCAATGTTATGCAGACTTGCTGATTCAAGAACCCCTCTGTGATATGAGTGGAATGTTTGGAGGAAATTACTGGTGCACGTGGAAGAGGAACAAATCTTTGAACTAAGGCCACCGTGAAAGCCAGGGCTCTGCTACTCCAGTACTTACACCCCATATCTCAGGATGTTCATGAAAAGAACTTCTCTGCTTATGCTTTGTAAAGGGTACCTGTGTTTGGAGAGAGATAGGAGAAAAGGCTTCCTACCCTGTGTAAACCAGTACAGCCCAGCCAGGGAGATCTAAGAATGCCCTAACTGCGCTATTCTCACTCAAGCTGTGATAAACAGGGTCTTTGCCATGCAAAGAGGCGAGGCTTGCTGGGGAGGCTCTGAGTTGGATCCAATAGGGCTGAGATGAAGACTCAAGTAGAGAATCAGAATCCTAGAGCATTAAGATCCTAGCCAGGAAGAAAGATGTGTGCAGGAGGAAACTTGAGGATCAAAGCAAGGAGGGAAGTTAGAAGCAAATAGAGTCAGAAGCAAAATGGAGTGGTTGGAGAGAAAGAATCATGATGGATAATTCTGACTTGGTTCTTCCAACAGAGAGTGTGCATTGGCACACGGGGTGAGCTGGGCATGGCCATGGTGGCCTAAAGGTGCTGCACTGGTTTGGGCAAGTCATTTCCCTGATACTATGGCTCTGCAAGCTCTGCTTAACATCTTATATTATGGATTAAAAGCTAGCTAAGAAATATTCTATTCCAACTCCCTCATTTCATACACATGGAAAATAAGCCCAGATATTAATTCAAGATTTAATAATAAATGGCAGAGCCAGACCAGACCCTGTCTGCTCTTCCCTAGTCCATGGAGTGGTCAGCTTTGCTGCCACTATCTGCCTTGAGACCCTTGTGCCCAATCTCCTGAGATGCTTGACCCTTGTTTATATCTGTCACCACAAGAAGCCCCAAACTCCTGTGTCACTAGTTAATCTCCTGTATCTATTCACCATACAGTTCTGCACATCTCTCTTTCCCCCCATCTCTCAAACTTCTAGAAGTCATGGGTCATCATCAGCTGATTTCCCCATTGCTCACACTTTTTTTTTCTGCAATGATCCTTTCACTGCCTAACTGAAACCTGCATCTCCTCTGAGGACCTGCTGCTCCTGCAGCTGTCTCACATAGTGGGTGGGGAACATGTCCTCTGTTTTCCCCATTACTCCTTACACAACATTTCTCCCTTATCCTAAAATCTCCTGGCTTAGAATCCCATGCTATCAGACTATGCCATCACCCTGCCTCTCATTGTCAAAGTCATCAACTTGGATCAAGTGCATAGTAAGGCTTAACATGTCAAGTGCTACCTTGACATCTTTGAGCCTCACAGGGCTCCAAAGGGCTAACCAGGAGCTACTCTGCTCTTACCAGATATGCTCCCAACCCAGAGGGGGAGCATGTCCAACTGGCTGCCTTATCAGCCAGACCAGCCACACTCCACCTGATCCTCAACCTTATGAATTTCACTTTCCTTGCCAGCCTGTGAAATTATCTGAATAAGCAAGTCAGGTGCTTCTGTGGGAACCAGGGACACTTCTCCCTCTTGGTACTACAAAGCCTGCCTCCCCCAGCCCCTGCTGGTCCACTCCATTTCTGAGAGCAGCCCCTGTGTGGCCCCGTTCAGTAAGGCATGCAGTGTCCTCCTCCCCAGGGCTGTGAATACAGGTGACTAATAAACTGTCACCAGCCCCATCTGTCCAGTGTTGGGTGTCTTGTGTTCAGCCACCTCCTTCCCCAATGGGGTGAATAGGAGATTATCAGACTGGTGAAGCCCCCTCACTTCTGGGTCACCTTCAGCTCCTGAATCACCATCACAGCCAGGATTCAACTCCAAAGTAATGCACTTTCCCCAACCCTACTGCTCCACTGTGGTTTCGAGAAAAGACCACGGGAGCACACAGCAGATGAGCATGCATGTATATGAGACACATATTGTGCATACATGTAGGTGATATTCACTATAGACATAGTTAGGAAATGTACACACTCATCTGTGGTGCCTTTTAACTTTTTCTATAACCCGATTGCTGGACCCTTTGCCTGACTCCCGGGCACTCGCCCAGTGTCTTGCTTTTGCAGACGTCCTTACCCTCAGCAAGCATCGTTCCACTACTCAACTTCTCTGAGCTTCAGTCTTCACATCTGGGGAGCAGAAATAATCATATTCCCATCATGAACTCACTATGAAGATTGAGTAAGACTAACAGCTACCACTCACTAAGTGCTTGCTACATACCAGGCAATGTTCCCAGCAAGTTACAAAGAGTAATTTATTTAATCCTCACAACAACCCTATGAGTATGAGTAGGTATAAGTGCTGTCACCATGATCACCTAATGAGTGAAGCAGATGAATGCCAGAGATAAAGTGACTGTCCGAGGCCATGTCGCTAACAGGGCAAAGGTTCAAACCTGGGCAATCTGGCTCTATGAGTCATTATAACATTTCATCTATGCTGTATTAAAAAACTATTCTGTCTCTCAAAGATAGCCTCTAAAATAAGATAATAGTAAAAATAAACTACCATTTACTAAATGTGAACTTGTGCAAAACACCATGCTACACTGGTCTCTCCCCGTAGGCCTCCAAAACCTCACAGCATTATTATAAGGGTTAAACGACATGAAAAGTACCCACCCATAATAGAAGATTAATAAACATTAGGTCTGTTTTCCACTCAGAGATAACCAGTATTAATATCTTTAGATAGAAAGTTCTATAAGTTATTCTATGCCTATTTACAAATAAGTGAAAATAGATATTATACATTCTTTTTTTTAATATTCCCAAATATCATTACTGTCTTTCCATGTCAGTATTCATCAACAACATGCATTCTCAATGGGTTTGATATCATCCCCAAGTTGGCAAAAATTGATTCTTTGGGGATGAAATAACTTAGATATTATGATGATTTGTGCCCCCCCTCAAAGGAACAGAGTATGTAACAGATATATAATAGATCTGTGATCTTAAAATTTTATGGCTTGTGCCTGCAATCCCAGCACTTTAGGAGGCCAAGGGAGAATGGCTTAAGGCTAGGAGTTTGAGACTAGTCTGGGCAACATAGCAAGACCCTGTCTCTCGAAAAATTTTAAAAATTAGCCCGGCATGATGGCATGCACCTGTTGTCCCAGCTAGTCAGGAAGCTGAGACAGGAGGATCAAGTGAGCCCAGGAATTCAAGGTTACAGTGAGCTATGATAATGCCACTGCATTCCAGGGCAACAGAGCAAGACTCCATCTCAAAAAAAAAAAAAAGAATTCATAGGGAAGAGTGAATGGGTAGGAAGGAACAATTAGGAAAAAAAAGTCTAAAAAGATACTTTAAAGGGGAAATAATGAAAATAATAATGAAAACAATAATAATAATGTTTGACAAACATCGATCTACGGCATCATTTTATATAATAGGACAGTATTCTTTTGCATGAACATACAATAATTTATTTAACTGACATTCTCTTACTGAAAACTGAGGATGTTTCCAACTTTTAGCCCTATAAACAATGCTGCAGTGAACATCCTTATAGTTAATATTTTGTGCATTTTTAAAACTTACTTCATTAAGAATTATTGCCAAAAGAGGAATTGAAAGCCAAAGGATATTTCAAGACTTCTGAAACATGGTCAAGCCTCTCTACTTCAAGCAGTTTTCAAGAGAAATTTTCAATTCAAGTGACACACAAAACCAGAGGAGACATTTCTTCATACAACAAGGGCTACTAAATTCGATATCAGTGCGAAATTGTCCTTTAAAAAGTCACTACACATAACTTTTCTCAAAATGCTTTTGTCGGCAATGTTCTGAAACATATTTTCACTTAAAACACTGCATTGTCAGTAAGAAGAACTTCCTTCCTCAAGTAACTCGATGGTGATGTATTTGTGCATTTCTGTTAGGTAACCAGAGCATTCAATAAGCTCAACTCAAAATGATTCCAGCTGAAAACAACTTCACTCTTTCCACCTACTGTATCTTTAATTCACTGTTTCTTCCCAGAAACTTGTAGACTCTCAGCTGGATCCTGTAGCTTTTCTAGGCCCTCTTATTCTTATGGAACAAAAAGTCTTCTCTAACTATTAGTTTCAGTAAGAGCCTCGTTTTAATAACTAAATGCCCAATCAAGTGACATAGTAAAATCTCAAGTCTCATTCAAAGGGGAAGCGTCCCCCTCCCCTGGGCCTGCTGTAAGCTGGGAAGGCTGTCATGGGGTGGCCTGCTGTCTGGAGGGCACTGGGATATTGTTTCACTCTGGTGTGATGAGACACACAGACACAGAAATGACTGTCATGGAAAGCGATCAAGAAATGTCCACTCACAGTTCCCTAGAAGCAGGAGGCATGCCACACAGGGCCACACGGGGAAACATCGGGCAGGTCACCGGGCAGAGAGCGCAAAGGGGAAATGTGGGCTGCAGCCTTCACTGTGGCTTCTGTGGAATTGGGCAGGGCAGCATGAGCTGGCTTAGCGTGGCCAGTTTGAATAATTTCAGCAGGCTCTGGGGGATGGGGGATGGGGGATGTCTCCAGTCTTCTGGTATCCGACCCTGGCATGGTTAGGGCAGGGGGATAGTGGTCCAGAGGGTGGCGGGAAGGTAGTGGGGTTTGGGGCTATGGATTGCTTGGTTTGCACATGCTCCCAGGGCAGTCGTGTACTGTCCTTAGGAACTAGCTAGCCCCTGAAAGGGGGAAGGATCTCCAGGGTCTGCAAGACCCCAAATGTCAAAGCATCAGAACTATAGAAAGTAAAAAGGCATGATTAAGACACTTCTGGCCGGGCTTGGTGGCTCACGCCTGTAATCCTAGCACTTTGGGAGGTCGAGGTGGGCGGATGGCTCCAGGTAGGGAGTTTCAAACCAGTTTGAGCAAGAGCGAGACCCCGTCTCTACTAAAAATAGAAAGAAAGTTAATTTGCCAACTAAAATATATACAAAAAATTAGCTAGGTAGGGTGGTGTGTGCCTGTAGTCCCAGCTACTCGGGAGGCTGAGGCAGGAGGATCTCTTGAGGCCAAGAGTTTGGGGTTGCTGTGAGCTAGGCTGACACCACAGCACTCTAGCCTGGGCAACAGAGTGAGACTCTGTCTCAAAAAAAAAAAAAAAAAAGAAACTTCTGCTTTCTCTCTTCCCATCCTGCTCTCCTGCCTGACCCCTGACTACCCAACACCCACAGACTGTGAGTCTGGGGGCTGACTCAGCCCAGGAAGGTGGGGGAAGTAGGGAGGCAGCCGAGCTCCTAGTGACCCCCAAGCTGATCTGTTGTGAGCACTCTCTGAGTGTGGGACATTCCCACAGCCAATTCCTGTTCTGGGTGATGGGGATTTATTCTGAGTGAGGAATCCCCTCTGGGGACCTCCAGCTGAATTCCAGGGAGGTAGATCTGGACTTTCCTGGCTGGCCATTTTCAACCTTTTCCAACCCTCAGCCCCTGCAACTAAGGTCTACTAGGAGGTTCCTTCTGCTGAGATGAGTGAAGTGGGTGTGCTTCTAGAATGAGACCTTTGAGAAACATCCCCTTTTGTACATGACCACGTGCAGCCGCCATCTGTGGGCTGCCCCACTGACCCGAGGGAAGCAACGTGCACCCATGGTCGGGCATCGGTGGAAGGTAGTGGACCCCAACACACCACATCAGGCTGATCTCACAACACCAGCTTTCTGTCGGCTCTCTGTGTGGTCCTACCTAAGCTCTCTCCCACTAGGGTGGGGGTGAAGCATCCCCTCCTCCTCCCTCATGGTGGGGTGAGGGTGGCAGAGGGGCAGCATAGCACACCACAACTCAACCCAAAGAAATCCCTCTCTCTCTTCCTCTTCACGTTCAGATGGACTAAGCTTTGTAAAGACCATTTCTAGCTCTTACCTTGCCTAGACTGTCTTCAAAATTTGACTGTTAAATGGATTATCCAATAATGGATAAGCTAATAATGGATTACTCAGAATCCATTATTTTTTCTTCTTTGACATAAAACCGAGAAACAAAACAAGTCACATCCTGATATCCTGTTAAAATTAAAATTAAAAATAAAACCCACTAAAGAGAAAGGGGAAACACCTATTAAATGCATGAAATGTGCTGAGACTTCAAAAGCTTTCAAAGGAAAATCAAGTAAACCATCTAAAAGGTGAGCCAAATGCTAATTTTTTAAAATAATCAAATCATAGCATGAGTTACTTCAGGTATTTCTTCTGTATCAAAAGTATATAACCCGATGTTTTTATTATTTGTTACTACTTCAATTAAGAACAGAGTTTGATGCTATTTTTAATATGACAGAATAAAATTATTGGATATTATATCCAATGGCCATGCTTTTTGGGCCTTGACAATATCAAAAGGTAGAAATTAGCAGTTTCAAAACCTCTTTCAAGTCTCAACTTTCTTTAGACAAATTTGATTGGCAAGTTTTTTTTAAAAGGGACACTATGTTGACTCACAAAATAATTTCTATCCAATGGTTTCTTTGACATTCCCATTCAGAGCCAAGCTTACAACAATCAAGGAAGATCTGAGAATAGTAGTTCCAGTTTTATTCTAAGAGTGTGTTTGCTTTTGGTGGTATTGTTTTTATTATTATCTTCATTTGTACTTGACTAGATTTTTTTAAAAACTTAATTTTATAGGAATAGTTAAAATTTCATATCCATTAAATAAATGTTGGCTAGAAATTTCAGATACTACATCTCATTTTTTGTAAACTGGGTGTAAGGCAGTCAGATAACTTTAAATTACAGATGATCTGTATAAAATCAACCAACATCTCTTGAGTTCCAGAATTAATTTCTAAAACTTGAGCTGTGTTTCAGCTACCATTCTTGAGTTTCTTTTTAAGTTTAAATTTACTAAAAATTGGACTTTTTTTTACTTTGTAAGCAAGGATCAAAATCTGCTCCAGTTATCTATTTGATGCATAATATATAACCCAAGGCTTAGTATCTCAAAGCAATGACTAGCATTTAGTATTCTTCATAGTTTTTGTGGGTCAGGAATTTGCAAATGGCTCAGTGGAGTACCTCTGCCTCATGGTCACTTATGTGGTCTGATGGTGGCTGCCATGGATCGACAGTGCTCTGGGGCACCTGTGCGTTGGTGAGCCATCCCTCTCTCCACGTGGTCTCTCCACATGGCTAGTTTCTGCTTCCTC